GAGTGCTGTCCACGCTTCCTGACTGCCTTGAGATCAGCGTCCTTTAGTGGGGGCTTTGTGAGGGTCTGAGGCACACAAGCTGTTAATGGCTATGCGTGTCTCCCTTCCTTCCTCCCCCAAATTGAAGGAAGGTAGGAAGTCTTCTGTGTTCCCGGTTAATGCTGATTTTGACACAGTCACATTCCAGAGGGAATGACTAGGAACGCATAACAGTCAGTGTTTACACCATCCTGACCGTGTTAGATGATGCTCTAAGCCCCTGTGCATTTTAACTCATTTCACTCTCTATAGAACACATCTTTGTCTTTTTGTTGTTTTTTTTGTTTGTTTGTTTGTTTGTTGTTTGTTTGATCGAGACAGGGTTCCTCTGTAGCTTTGGAGCCTGTCCTGGAACTAGCTCTTGAAGACCAGGCTGACCTCGAACTCACAGAGATCCGCCTGCCTCTGCCTCCCGAGTGCTGGGATTAAAGGCGTGTGTCACCACCATCCATCAGAACATGCTTCTGGAAGTTGTACCATTCCTCCCTTTCAGATGAAGAAACGGAGACAAAGAGCTTGTGACAGACTCATAAGAGGGTTGGCTTTGAACTGTGGGATTCTGTTTAGCAACCCTTTCTTCCAGTGGTTGCCTTCAATAGGTCAATTTTACCTATCATCTGTGTATCTGTCAATCTATCTATCTATCATCTAATTATTTTTGTTTTTATTTATTTATTTTTTTGGTTTTTTTGAGACATAGTTTCTCTGTGCAGCCATGACTGTCCTGGAACTCACTCTGTAGACCAGGCTGGCCTCAAACTCAGAGATCCACCTGCTTCTGCTTCTCAAGTGTAGAAATCAAATGCATGTACCACCAATAGTTAATAGGTCAACTTTATAATGAACCACGCTTTACAGGAGGACCCCTCAATTCCTCCTCTGACTTCTGTGGGAGCACACAGATGTATACACACATATACACCATACACACATGCGTGTACCCACGTACCCAAATAAAATAAAAAGATCCGTCTAAGTTGAGGTAGAATGCCTACCTAGTGTGTGAAGCCTTAAAGTACACACAAACTGGGCATGGTGGTACATGCCTGTAATCCTAGCACTTGAGAGGTGGGGGCAGTAATATCAGAATTTCAAGATTATCTTTGGCTACATGGAGAGTTTGAGGCCTCCCCCTGAGCTGCATGAGTCTCTGTCTCAAAAAACCAAAACCAACAAACAAACAAAAAAGAAAACAAATAGAGTTCACAAACAAAAGCAAAACCCCTATTTTGCTTAGGTAGAAGTCATCTAAGATAGTCTCCACTTCACCTTTCTCTCTCCTGTAGGAGCCCGGCAACCCCAAGCCTTTGCCAGGCGTACTCAGGCAGGTGCTAGTCATGTTTGCTGACATCACGTGAGACTGCGCTCTGGCTAGGCTAGTCAGGCTAAGAAGTAGCTAGGAGCCCTTCACAGTCTGAAGTCTTTGGTCCTGGCCTTAGCTAGGACGTGTTATAAGAGATAAATCAACTCACATGGCTCCCGTGGGCTCGGACTTTCATTCTGGTTCCTAAATTCTTACTTAGGCGAGATGTGCTTCCACTCTAGAAGTGTATTCCCAGCCACCTGTGGGTCAGGACCTCTTGGTGCTAGACTTACACAGACCATTGTCTAGCAGAAGTTTGTGCACAAGCCCAGTCGTTATCCCGGGCCACACTGGGAGAGACCAGCGACTTCGAGAAGCTCTAGGCTAGGCACCAGCAAGTCATACAGAAGGGGTCAAGTGTTCACTGAAGTCCTGGGAAGCCTGGGCCCCCTCCGTTGCTGGGCTCCAGTGGAAGGACAAGAGAAACTGAAAAAGACTTTGGCTCCTGGACGTGTGGGCAGTAGGAGGAATACATCCTGTTGGCCCTTGGGGGAAAGGCGGGGGGGGGGGGGGGGGGGTATCAAAACATACACTTCTGCTCTTGCTCCTTGAAGAAGCTGCTTTTGAACTTGGAAATTTTAGCCCCCACCCCCATTCCCCACTTTGTATGGAATCACTGTGAGAGATGGTTTAGAACTTCCTTATTCAGCAAACGCAGAGGTGGGACAGGGAATAGGGAGGAAGATCAAGGGCAGAAGCTGCAGTAACAAGGGAGGGATTAGGTTGTGTAAGAGCTGGGGCTGATTCCAGCTTTCAAGACAGGTTTCAGTCTTTGATGAGCCCAAAAGCCCGCCCCAGGCAAGAGGCTCCCTCTAGGGGTCGCTTGATTTCCTACCTTTTGAATGAACGTCAATGTTAGCACAAGGTTCCACTTCCAGAAGTCCACCTCGGTGGAGTGTTCAGTGCACAAACTCAGACCCCCACCCCCACCCCAAGGTTACTCTCACCGTCATCGAGACCCTCATTGCCACGCCCGGCCCCTGCTGTAGAAAGCAAATCTTTACGAAACTCAATTGTTTTGTCCAATTTGACTATTTGGGTGCCGGAAATAGTTTCCAGTTGGGGCATAAATCAAAAGATGAGACTAAGGGCCAAGGAGAGAGGCGAATGGCAGGGTGCTCACCTTAAGTGAATGAAGCTTTGGTTTGATTCCTGCCGCCAGCAATTAAGCCAGGCCTGGTAACACACCTGCAAATCCAGCACCATTTAAGCAGGAGATCAGAAGTTCAAGGTCATCCTCAGCTACCGGAAGATTCTTGTGTTGTTTTGTTTTGTTTTCAAGACAGGGTTTCTCTATGTAACAGCCCTAGTGGTCCTGGAACTAGTTCTGTAGACCAGGCTGGACTCACAGAGATTCACCTGCCTCTGCCTCTCAAACGCTGGGATTAAAGGTGTTTGCCACCACCGCCCGGTTTAGCTACCTGAAGATTTTGAGGCCAGCCTGGGTTATATGAGACACCGTCTAACAGAAAGAAAAAGAGAAGAGAGGAAGACAAGAAAAAGAATACGGTTTGGACGTGTGGGGCATGTCTATAAATAAACTCAGCCCTGGAAAGAGGAAAGAGGATCGACAAGGCCTGGGCTAAGTAGTGAGACTGTGAAAACCCCACAAAAGTCAGAGGGAGTGTTTTACATAAAACTGTAACTCTTCCCCCTCCGATAACTTCTGGAAGTGAGGCCTTTGGAAGCTAGCCACACTCTCCCACAGATTCGAGAATGTTTAGAGAGCATCCCCGCTCTGTCCACATCGAGCCTGCTTTGGTATAGAAAGTATAAGTGTCTGGTCCAGGTTTCCAGCCAGACTTACCAGCAGGGACGAGTGCTCAGGCCTCCCTGGTAACACAAAGATTGTGTTAGAGTGTTCTATAGTAGTACAAGGAGCTCGAAAAAGCCTCCAGGCCACATTGCCCCCAATGCTCTCTTATAAGGTGAGGATGCTAGACCTGAAGTTACACCCCAAACACTTCCACAGTAGCTACTCAGACAGACCTCTATTTTCTCCTTAGAGAAGTATTAAAATGTGACTTGTTAGGGCTGGTGTGGTGAGCATATTCGATATATAAATACCAGGCATATTCTCTTTCTCGACACAGAATCGCTTAAATCCATAGGAGAGGTCAAGCTGGCCTTGAACATGTCCTCTCCTGAGAAACCTAGGAAGGAAGGCTATGGTCAGGGAGGAAGCCAACGCGGGAGGGCGCCATCCATCTCTAGTCCCGATCTACGGAGGAGGTTATTATGCATGTGGCTAAATGTACGGGCTTCAGAGTCATGGGGGCCCACCCAGGCTTGGGCCCTGCTTGCTCAGGGACCTGGGCAACTCATTCCACCTCCCTGAGCATGCTTCATCGTCTCCGAAATGGGGAGACTATGAAGAGGAGGTGAATAACACCCACCTCACGGGTTCCAGACATTTAATGATACAATGCACGTGGAGCCCACATTAAGTGCTCTCAGCTCTCAGTAATGGGAACAAGCCTGTCACCAGGTATTTAATTGGTCAAAGGGATCCACCTCATAGGAGGCCCAGGACAGAGCTGGTTCACCCTGGTGTATCCCTGGAGCTGGGCTCTGTTCATCCACAGACACCCGTTTCTCTTCCTAGGACGGCAGTGTGTCCTGGTAAGAACAGGATGCTTGGTTGTGATAACCGTAAACAATCATGTTGACTCTGTTGTTGCTCATACCAGGGCTAAGAGGCTATAGGCACCTTTATTCTATTGCTTCTTGTGTACTGAGATAAGGTCCTTGAAGCCAGTCAATGATAACCGGGCTCTGATCCTAGGCACCGGGGCTGGCAATGAAGGGTGGAGAAACAGTCTAAGGGGTCCCTAAGGCCGAGAGGGTCCCGTCTCTACTTTTGTGGTCGCCTCCTCTCTGCTTATTGGGCTGCTTAACGCAGTGGCAGGACAGGGGTAGGGTTTTCTGTTTCCTCTCTTTCTCTCCTCCCTTCCCCCCCTCCCCTTCTTCTCTTCAGCCACCCTTCTCCTGGACCCTTCCCTGCCAACAAACGAGATGACCTTTGGCTCTCCGAGGTAGCTGTGGACAGAGGGCCATTCTCTTCTCTGGGTTTGTTCTAGCCGTCGGCAGAAGCACACAAAAGCGATTATTCCCAACCAACCGGAGCAACCGGCCCCAGGCCATTCAGCCTCCGGAGGGCACCTCGGCTACTATTATTATGCCGTTTCCAGATGAAGATGCCAAGACCTGGAGAGGCCACTTGCCCACAACCACACAGCCCAGGCAGTCTGTCCCGGGATCTCATGCTCTTTCACAATCTTGACCTTTCCTCCTTGGTAGCCACTGTGGGCAGCAAGGGAACTTGAGGACCCTAAAGCTAAAACATCTCTCTTGTTCCTTTATGTTTTTGCTGATGGATCCGCGACAGGGGCAGAGGATTGAGCCTGGAGCCTTTGTTATGTTTTATTTGTTTTTAATTGCACTCTGATCTGTTTGGGAAGGGACACGTGTGTGTCACAGAACCTGTGTGGAAGTCAGAGCACCACTGTGAGGTGCGCCATCTCTCCCCATCTGCCATGTGGAGCCCGGAGATCAGGCCTGCTAGCAAACACCTTTTCCCGCTGAGTCACCTTGTTGGCCCCCTTTTTCCTTTTTATATTGAGACAGGATCTTACTAAGCTGTCCCAGCAGGCTTTAAACTCACTCCATCTGAGGCAGGCTTGGAACACACGATTCCCCTGCTTTGGATTCATGAGTAGCTGTGATTACAGGCCTGTATCTCCAAGCCTGGCTTGGCCCCGCTTTAAAGACTTACACAGTACAATTACAATAGCAATGACCACACAGAGAGCAATTCCTAGACCTTTAGTCAGGACATCCCCACGAGAAACAAGATGACAGCGTGACATGGGTATCTCTGAGAGTATGCCAAGGAACCGGCCCATTTGGGAGGTGCCAGTTGTCACATGTCTCCGACACCGTGTCAGGCCATGGAAGGGCTGAATCTCTAGTTCCTACCAATCAGCAGCCTCTCTCTGCTGCAATTAGCTCACACTTTGGTAGATTCACTTTCACCCGACAGCATTGTGTGTGTGTGTGTGTGTACACATACGTGTGTGTGTGTATGTGTGTGTGTGTGTGTACTGACTTTTCTTCCTTTTTAGGTACCTCATTTGCATGAAGGCCCGCCTGTAAGCTTTCTGGGAGAAAAGATATGAGGATCCCAAGGCTGAAGTCGGGGCCTATCTCCAGTGTGAGTGGTAAGAGAGGCCATATAGTACGGTTGGCCGTAAGACCATGAGACCACACACCAGCAATGGCCAAGAATGGAAACCCCTAGTGTCCTTGGCAGGACGAAAGCATAGCACGAAGGAGCATCGGCGATGCCTCTCACCCCCTGGTGAGTCCTCTGCCAGAGAAACTCATTCTGCTTTTTAGCACAAGACGGGGCTGTGCTGGGTAGACCACTCTGGAAGATTCTGTCTGTTTTACCCAAAACACAGGGTTGAGGTGTGCTTGATACAACCGAAGAACTGCATTTTAAACTGTGTTTCATTTGAGTTCGTTCTTTTCTTTTAGTTTAGTTTAGTTTAGTTTTTTGAGACAGGGTTTCTCTTGTAACAGCTCTGGCTGTCCTGGAACTCACTCTGTAGACCAGGCTGGCCTCGAACTCACAGAGATCCCCTGCTTCTGCCTCCTGAGTGCTGGGACTAAAGGCGTGCACCACCACTGCCCAGCTTGGGTTCATTCATACCGTGTATCCTGCAGAACATGGCCTCACAAGCCTCTGCCCACCCCACTCTGAGGCTAGGAGAGCGGAGTTGCCACGGAGGGCCTCAGTCTCTGACTATTTTGATTGTTCCTTTGTGCACATCTTTCCTATAGAACTACTTTAAGTTTTATGAGATGATGATGCTAAATTGTTTTTTTTTCCCTTTGAAGATTTATTATTTAATGAGTGCCCTATCTGCACATACACCCTTATGACAGAAGAGGGCGCCAGATCTCACTCTAGGTGACTGTGAGCCACCATGTGGTTGCTGGGAATTGAACTCAGGATCTCAGCAGCCAGTGCTCTTAACCCCTGAGCCATCTCTCCAGCCCCCAAGGGCCTCAGTCTCTAGGCAAAGTGACTCCAATATGTATAGCACATTGGAAAGAGAAAAGCTAACACCAGGTCAACCCAGGTCTGAGGGCCAGCTCTTCCATTCCTTCACCCTGTGACCTGAAGGAAGCTGCCTTTAACATTTAGTGTCTCAAACTGAGCATGTGTAGAGTAAAGGGAAGGCACCGTGAGGCATCGCTCCCTCCATAAGGCATGGAGGACCTTACTTTACCCGTACGTCCACTGAATAGCTGCTCACTGATATCCTGGATGTCCTGGTCTTGGGCTGGCGAATCCAAGGAACATTCTATCCTTTCCCTTCTGGTGACTCTGGGTTAGCGTGGGGTCTGCGAACGGCGAAGTAATGACGCAGTGACAGCTTAAAGAGGGCTGGGGGATTAGCTATTCCATCTCGTTACTGTGGAAAAAATACCCAACTAAAGCGACTTGAGACACAAAACAACGTGAGGGAGAAAGGGCTCCNGGTGTGTGTGTGTGTGATGGTGTGAGAGATGGTGTGTGTGAGACTGTATGTGATGTGTGGTTTTGTGTGTGTGTGGTGGTGTGTGGGTGTGATGGTATGTGATTGTGTGTGTATGTGTGTGATTGTGTGTGTGTAGGTCAGAGGACAGCCGGGTGAAATTAGATCTCCCCTTCTACCTTTCTGTGGGTAGATCTAACCCATGTCATTATTTTACCCAATGAGCCATCTCACCAGCCGAGATTTGAGGTCTGGCTATATCATACAGGCTGGGCTCCATCACACTCCTGTTTCAATCTCTTGGGTGCTGGGCTTGCAGACGATTTTATATTTTAGGAGAATCCCCTGTTGGAACTGTAAGATGATCTCAGAATTAAGCAAACTTTCAGAGAAAACAATGAGGAGGCAGTTCATATCTGGAAGCTACTTGAAGTTGTAGGTTCTTCGCTTAATCACATTGACTCACTTAGCACACGTGGCTGTGCAAAGAGGGGCATGAGAACTCGTCACTTTACCATGAAGAGCTGTCAATGAAACGGCTGGGCGTGCTGGTGCCTACCTGCAAGCCAAGCACTTTGGAGAGGTGGTGGCAGGAGGATCAGGAGTTCAAGATCATCATTAACCTTGCTTGGCTACCTAGCAAGGTGAAGGCCAATTTGTATTACATGATACATTATCTAAATTTAAAAAAAAAAAAAAGCCAGTGAACCGATTGCAGATGGCATGCCCTTGTAACTTAGCACCCCAGTACTTGGCCACTGAAGCCCACTGATGTAGTTCAAGGGCCGCATATTGAGTCACAGGCCAGCAAGAGACTGGGCGGAGAGGCAGAACTGTGGGTGAACTAACAGAGCATGTGTACTTAAAGGCTCGTATTTTTTAGAAGCCACAAAGTCCATAATTTTAGCTGTGTTTGCTTCCTTTTGAAATCAGAAAACCAAATGAAAGCCTGTCTTGTTTGCTTATTGGTTGGCTGGTTTGGTTTTGGGGTTTCCGAGACAGGGTGTCACTTCATGGCTCTGGCTGACCTGGAACTCACTATGTGGACTGGATTGGCTTTGAACTTCTGGTGAGCTTTCTGCCTCTACCCACCTCCCAAAAGCTGGGCTTATGTAGGCATGAGGCCACCATGCCTGTCTCCTTAACAACAACATCTTATGGTACAGCCAGTTATTTACAGAGAATTGAGAACTCTACAGAGACACCTAAGTGCTGTTCTGGCCACACCTTAGTAGCCAACATCAGAGTCTATGCTTCTTGTTTTGAGACACGGAGGGAAGCCAGTGTTCAGCACACTCTTGTTGGTAAGCAGATTTAAAATCAGGACATTAGATGATGTGCCTTGTGGGAGAAGCCAAAGATGTTTGCTAAATCAAAGAAAGTGTCTATGCTGTTGTGAAAAAAAAAATATTATGGTAGTTGTCCCAATTTAAACAACGCTAGGCCACGGGTAGGAGTGGTTACAAATGGCGCTAGTGATGGATACGCCAGCTGGAGAATGGCTCGAGCTGGATTCTAATGCAGGTGGGAAAGAGGAGGAGGTTTGCTCTACCGAAGGGAAAAACATTGAGGGCTTGGAAGGAAAAACACATTCCTCCAGGCATTATGAGTCCTTACTTCACTGACAAAATATGACCAGTGTGCAGAACACGGAACAGGTGTACAATATTTTTAGACAATCCTTGGCATATACCGTGGGTCGCATCCCTTCTGTCTATACACTCAAGGGTTGCAGAAATAATTGTGGAAAAGGCACTTAGATAAAAAGAGCGAGACGTTGCTTTTATGTTTTATTTATTTTTTATTGTAAACACTGAATCTTAAAGCCGAACCTTTCCAGCCGTGAGATTGCCGCTGTCTCTGCGCGCTGGCTTGTCATATGCCCTTCCGTGTCACTGTCTTCCTTCCCGCTGTTGTGAGAGCTGGAAAACCAGTGTCATAGGCTCTTTTTGGAGTGTGAAGGGTGGGTTGCATTGACTTCAAACCATTACACGGGGCTGGAGATATATTTTGATGGGGAAGAGCCTTGTGGCATAAGCTTTAAGACCTGCATTTGGATCCCAGAATCCACGTACAAAGCCTGACAAGGTCACATACACCTTATATCCCCAGCACTGTGAAGCCAGAGACAAGAGGATCGCTGGGGCTCCCTGGCCACAACCGTAGCTCCAGGTTTAGTGAGAGACTCTGTGTCAAGGAGCAATCTAGACACCTGATAACCTACTTAGCCTCTGCACACACAGATGTGTACATATACGCGTGCACATACACCATACACACACAAGCTACATTACACATACACATACCATACATGTATATATAACACACATTAACCCATAATTCCTTTAGACCACAGAGTGTGACAATCGCAGCCATGCAGCAGTCTAGCCTGGTCTCCAAGTTGATGGCAGAAGGGAATACTATCATTATTTTACCAATAAGGCTTAAGAAATGGAATCATATGAGCTGGGCATGATTTGGGAAGCAGAGCAGCCTCAGCTGTAACACACACACACACACACACACACACACACACACACACACTAGGAATCAAGCCCAAGCCCATACATATATTACCCGTGTTAGCACAGGGTCCAGATTCCCGGTGGCATGAGTTGGGCCTGCTGGGAACAAATAACCTTTTACTTTTGCGCTTCACATAGAAGAGAAGCAGAAGTTGCTCAGGTGGATTTCCCCTGCCAGCCTCTCCCACCCATCTCTTCGGCTCCAGTGAGGATTTGCCTTATTCTGGAGCGAGCGTGCCTGCTCTTCCTCACCTGATTTTCCACAGCTGTCTTGCCATTTGCCTACTTCTTCCCCAGAGAGCCATTACCCCTTTGTAGCTACTTACTGTTCTGGAGTTCTGTAGACCCCCAGTGACTTACTTTCTGCTGATTCCTTCCTGTTTCCAGGAACTGCCGTGGGGATGCTGAACCGCTCCCCGACAGCTTAAGACAGCTAAAACCCCCACAGCCTCTCTAGAAACTAAGGCGGCACCAGGGGCTCCTTAACCAAAGACTGAGAACAGCACAGATACACTGTGTCTTTCTGAAGAAGGAATAAGTGGGTTTTTCCTTAGGAGATTTGTGTTGTTTGGTTACTTTCTCCCCGCCCCCCCTCGATGCAGGATGGCCTCACATTTGCTATGTGATCATCAAAGCTGGCTTTGAACTCCTAACTTTCCGGCCTCCACCTCCTAAGTGCTGAGAGCAGAGGTTTGTGCCGCCACACCCAGCCTTTCGGGTTCTGTCTAAGAGAGGCGGGGCATCTTCCAGGCTGAGTGATAGGTGCGTGTCCTGTCTCTGCTCTCCAGGTCTGGGAGCGATGAGAAGGTACCTGAAGAGTGCTGTCCACGCTTCCTGACTGCCTTGAGATCAGCGTCCTTTAGTGGGGGCTTTGTGAGGGTCTGAGGCACACAAGCTGTTAATGGCTATGCGTGTCTCCCTTCCTTCCTCCCCCAAATTGAAGGAAGGTAGGAAGTCTTCTGTGTTCCCGGTTAATGCTGATTTTGACACAGTCACATTCCAGAGGGAATGACTAGGAACGCATAACAGTCAGTGTTTACACCATCCTGACCGTGTTAGATGATGCTCTAAGCCCCTGTGCATTTTAACTCATTTCACTCTCTATAGAACACATCTTTGTCTTTTTGTTGTTTTTTTTGTTTGTTTGTTTGTTTGTTGTTTGTTTGATCGAGACAGGGTTCCTCTGTAGCTTTGGAGCCTGTCCTGGAACTAGCTCTTGAAGACCAGGCTGACCTCGAACTCACAGAGATCCGCCTGCCTCTGCCTCCCGAGTGCTGGGATTAAAGGCG